AATGTTACGACGTCAACATTGTCGTAAAGGGTTTTGTGACCCTCAAGGGATCGACAAGGACGAACGTTAGCATAAAGATTGAACTCCCTAAAGTTGTGTGAATAACCATTTTGTGGTAATTAAAAAATGATTTATCTTAGAGAAAACACACTTTGTAGTAACGTCATCTAGGCGAATATTTAGCGCCTATACTTTTACTCACTTTCGTACTGCAAGATTGAGAGACCGATGTCCCTTGCCGATGGGAGTTTCCAAGGGCCCTTTGAGACCAACCTATAAAGTGGCGTTTTAGTCATGAAACAGCTTTACTGAAGGTGTAACTGAAGTCGTGCGTAAACAACTGCGGACACCTGTCCTAAAACATGTTATTCTGCCGTCCGTAAGACACATTGTTATCCTCACCTTCGCGGCTCGAAAACGCAAGTTAAGGACGATGGGCGTTCGCGATGAAACTAAAAACCTGCCCACCGTCCAGTGCCACGCCCAACGTTAATTTCTAAAAACTCCCTAGTGTTCAGTTGTTCTTGTACTATCCTTTTTGGTGAGGTAAGTATTCAGGAAGAAGTGATCAAGTTACAAGTTTAGCTCCAGGGTGATGCCGCTTGGGCGCAAGCTGAGATAGACTGCGTGCACACGGCGCTCTTACGCATCCAATTTCATGCGCAGTTACGATACTGTATCGCATCCTTTAGCAGGAAATGATAGCGTTACGATAGCAAAGGCCTTTCGATTCATTTCAGCTATAGATTGACTGAGAAAGAAAAACTCACCAGTGTACATTCTCCCGAGAGGTTTCGTTTCCCTGATTGTGCAATGATTACCAGCAGCCCCGTGATAGCGCGTTTATAGTTCGCGATCCGATCGCGCGATCCAGTCGAGCGATCAGATCCTAATTATGGATGCGCTTTAAGCGTTCGAGGAAAAACTCGGGTTGTCTGGGGTCAAAACTTTTGTGCGCACCTCGACATTTTTGTAATCAATTTTCGTAACCTCGAAATTTGAAAACTGACAAACATACCTTATTCCTGTGCATCAACTCGATACATCGCGAGGGAATCCGAAAAACTCCATCTCTTCCTTTCACTGGCGTCACGTCCACAGGATCCCATTCAATAGGAGTTTTAGCTGCCTTAAATTAGACAGCAGAATCAATCACTAGAAAGCAAACTAATTAGAAATTTGACTTAAAAGGGACCGGTAAAAGCTTGCTAACTACCTCAAAAATTTCTTGAACAGATTTCGAAATTTCTGGCCCAATCCCATCACCTGGGATGAGCACAACACGCCGCACCTGAAAACCAAAATGGAGTAGTGGCTTGTAAACTAAAAAGAAGATGAAAAAGCAACTAGTAAAATACCTACATCTGTGGACAAACCACGAGAACCCATTTGAGCGACAGTGCCAACCTTCCCCAGACATTTGGCCAGCATCCTTCTAAAGCGAAATTACTGTAAGACCTTTTCAAAACAAAAACGTTGTAGGATACGTAACTACGAATATGGCGAACGGATGAGATATTCAGAAGTGCCATAAAGGATAAAGTCCGCGCAGTCCCTTTGTGGGATGCAGGCACGCATTCAAAATCGAGGTGGCTGCTTGAATGCCATGTGGCTTATGCAGTGGCTTGTGGGGAGCCAGGAGCCAGCCGATGTACAAGTCAGTGTTTTATCCTCCCAGACAAATCTGGTACCAATTCACCGTCCCCGGAGGGTAGAAGGCTTGGTTGGCCTGGGCGGGAAGCCGATTCAAGATCCCCGAACCGTGCGCGTGGTAATGTGCCACCACCACATCACCTCGCCTCTAAGAAGTGCCATAGAGGTAGAATTTGTGCTTGAAAAAAGCAAAGATCGCACTGAATTCTATTTAAGATTATCACCTGCACTGTGGATCTCAAGGAGGGACGAAAGGACTCCGAGAGCATTTGAAAAGAATCGGGTAATCAGTTAGAAAGATGATGGAGTGATGCGGAAAAGCTGCCAATAAAGGCAGTCCACAGCACTGTTCACTTCCTGAGGCTCATTTATGCACGACGGTTTCTGGCCAGCTTCAAACTACGCTTCGCGAAAATCGGAGTACTCGCAAGGGAAAAAAACACAGCTTGGTTGACTTCTTACTGAAATTGTTATTTCTTCCAAAGTGGAGGAATCGATTTCAAGAAAGAGAAATGATTTAAGTTTACTTACTAA